GAAAGCCGCTTGTAGGCGCTTCGGTGTTCCTCTTAGGATGCATGGCTGCCATCAACGTGTGATGAGCATGAGTGCCGGGCAACTACGATAAGACCCGATGACGAGTGAAACCACACAATTCTAGTCCCCTACAAGGTGAATCTCAACAGGCTCGTTCCCCACGAACACACACCGCTCGCTCACCGGATTCAACTTCCGACGCCTCTGCTTCGGAACGTGTCTGTAGGCTCGCGCCCCAAACACCCGCATGTGCCCCATTTTGGGCTTCTTGCCGTAGAACACCTCCAACGGGCTCCTCCCGTGTGCGCTCACTGGGGTCCGGTTCCGAGTATAGTTGGCCGTCACAACGGCCTCCGCCCACATCTCTTTGGGCAGCCCCGAATTTGTTAGATTTGGGCAGTACTGGCCTTGAGTATGCCCTAATATCCTATGATATATCCTCCATAGAATCGTCGGTTTGATGCATAAATCGGCCGTACGATTGTGAGCTTGCATGATTGGATATCCACCGTAGGATATGCGAAATGTAAGCCGTAGGATTGAGTCCATTGTGCATGGGTTCTTTCGTGATGTGTATTTCGGTGTAGCCATTCGATAGGTTCTTTTGTTGCCAACGTCGAATAGGGACCGTCGATTTGTCGATTGAAACACCTAGGGTAATAGCTAGGCTTGAGCTAGGCTATAAGACTTGGACTCATGTAGCAAAAGAACCACACTCATTCCTAGTAGTTGTGCACTTGAAAGTCGCTTGCTTTCAATAGAATCCTCAAGCATCGCCCGGACCTCCTCCTCCAATTGCCGATTGAGCCGCTCTGCCGACCCATTCTCTGCTCGGCCATGTAGGAGGCGGTCTTCTCGTGCACCGTCCCCTTGCCCCCGAACACGTTCTTGAGGGCCTTGTTGACGTACTCCTTCCCCCGATCCGTCCGCACCGACCTGAGCTTCTTCTCCGATTGCAACTCCAACCGGTTAATCACGTGCTCGGTCACCTCGGCCACCTCGCTCTTCTGCTTCATGGGGACTACAACCGAGAGCTTGCTGTAGTCGTCCGGAAATATGGCGAAGTACCGGCTCCCCCCGACCGAGGGG